GGCTACCGTCCCCCACGCTGGCGCAGCTATCCCATGTTGGAGTGCACCGTTCGGGGCTGCCTGCCTGGACTGAGGCAGGGAAACTTGGTTCCAGCCCGCTGCTTCCTGGGGAGTCTGAGTCAGGGGCTCTTCCCTCAGCCAGGCTGAAAGGCATCTGTTGGTCCTCCTGTGGGGTCTTCCACAATGGCCCGTGAGAGGCTCCCCGTCTCTGCAGGCAGAAGGGAGGACAGTCCATAATGTTCCTTCCAGTCCTCTGACTTGTCATTTTTCCACCCCAAATCTTGTGCTTTACCCCCATAGCGAGCTCCTGAAGGAGGAATTTTAACTGGCAAAACTCGGAACTCCATCCAAACACAGCCAAAACCATCCTGGGTGGTTCAGAGGCAGCTGCCTCCCAGACAAGCCCATAGCCCCACAGAAACGCCTGGTCCTTCGCCTGCCAGAGCTCAGGCTTTTTGGTTGAAGCCGGAGACAGGCTCAGCTCAGAGTGTGCCCTGGTTCATCCTGAGCACAGAGTTGGTGCGGTGTGTGTGACAGACCAGCGGAGTGGGTCTCTCTGCGTGTCCTGTGGCTGGCCCTTGGCTCCCAGCCTCGAGTCCTACCCTTGGGCCAGGTCAGAGCAAGTTCAGCAGCAGGCCCGGCTCAGACACCACCCAGGCTCACGAGGTGGCTTTGTGGGGAGCAAATGAGGTTGTTTTGTTTTATTTACCTTGTAAAGTTGCTTGTTGTTAATTTAAAATTTTTATTTCATTTCTGAATTAACATTCAGTACAACTGCTATTTTTTGGTGTACAGTTCTATGAATTTAACACATTTACAGATTCATGTAGCAACACTGTGGACGCAGAACAGTGACATCACCCCCAGAACTCCTTTCGTAGTCGCACTCCCCCAGCGCAACCCCGGCAGCTCTCCCTGTGCTTTTGTCTTTTGTAGAGGAAATCATGCAGCTGGCAGCACTTGGAGACCAGCTCCTCCCGCTGGGTGCGTCGGACCCGCCGAGCCGACCGTGTGTCCACAGCTCCCTCCTCGGCGGTGCTGGGTAGGGTTCTGCATGGAGGCACCTGTGCCACTGAAGCATATTTGGGTTGTTTCCAGGGTGGGATGATTGTTGAGTAGAGCTGTTTGTGCATTTACGTTGTAGGTTTTTGTGTGAAGATAAGCTTTCATTTCTCTTGGGTAAACACCCAGAAGTGTGATTGCTGAGTCGTGTGGGAAAAGCATATGCTCAGCTTTACAAGAAAACACCAAAGGCTGGCCCTGCACTTTGCTGATCAGGAGTGAGAGCGCCCGACGGTCATGGGTGAGAGCGCCCGACGGTCATGACGGTCAGGGGTGAGAGCGCCCGACGGTCAGGGGTGAGAGCGCCCGACGGTCAGGGGTGAGAGCGCCCGACGGTCAGGGGTGAGAGTGCCTGCTGATCAGGAATGAGAGTGCCTGATGCTCCGTGTTCTTGCGGGCACTCAGCATTTTCCGTGCTTACATTTCAGCCACCCTGGAATGAGTGAAAAGCGTTTCATCGTGGCTGTTTTGCATCTCCCTAGTGGCTAATGGACGCATCTTTCACGTGCTGATTTCCCATCCATATCCCTTACTTGGTGAGGCATCTGTTCAAGTCCTTCCTCAATATGTAATCGGATTATTTGGTGTTTTTACTGTTGGAGTTTGAGAGTTCTTTATGTATTCTAGATACAATTCCTCTGTCAGATATGCGATTCACAAATATTTTCTCCAACTCTGTGTCTTGTGTTTTAATTCTCTCCATGGTGACTTTTGCAGCATTCATGAAGATTTTCTGTTGTCTTCTCAAAGTTTTATAAGCCACTATATTTAAATTTTTAATTTAAAAACTGTAAACCTATTATAGTTTTTAAATTAAACGGTAAACCTATTATGTAGATTTTCTGTTTAAACCTATGATTTCTTTTAAGTTAATTATTATGTAAGGCGTGAGGTTTGGGTCAAGGCATTCCTTTCCTTAAAATTCCCAAACAACTTTTCATTTATCTTAGACAGAAGTCTTGACCTGCAGGGTCAGGCTCCTCTGCCCTCTGAGCTCCTCCTCCCCACGCAGTGCCAGCCCCTTGACTATTCTCACCACTCAGGCCTTGGCCTCCATACCCGCTTGGCACCCACCAAGAGGGTCCAGGGATCCCTCCACAGAGCAGCCTTCCGTCTATGGCGTGAAGCGGGAGCGGTGGCCAGGGAGAGCCAGGCTGGGACCCAATCTCTGCTTTAGGCTGTCATTTTGCCAGAGTTGGTGTTGGATTGAGGGACATGGAGGGAGGAACGGGGGTCAGTTAGGGGCAAGTTTCCTCGTGCAGGCAACCAGCTGAGGGCTCGACGGGAGAGGAGAGACAAGGAGGGCAGAGCTCAGGGGAGCTGGCCTGACGAGGCGACCAGAATGTGATCACTGGATTCCTGACTGGTGGCCCAGGTGTGGCCCCAGTCTGGACAGTTACAACCACCGTGGGGAAGCTTCAGAAACCAAGAATACTGTCTGGGAAGCTGATCTGCAGAGAGAATGGGGCAGACGGAGGTGCGGTGGGGGAGAGAGACAAAGGAGAGGAGGAGGGTAAAAGCCTGTTGCTGGTCCCACTACGTTGGGCTTGTCAGCCTGGCTTCTTCTTGTCTCATCCATAAAATGGGCTGATGTCGCCCGTCATGGTTGGGAGGTGCAGGGAAGCGTTGTGCTGCGTGCTCGGCCCGGCTGCCAGCAGCTCTCCCGCCTCGGGGACTCTCCAGACAGGTGTGAGCAGGTGAGGTGCTGGACCAGGGAAGGGCGGGGAGACGACATGGCCGAGGGGAGCTCTGTGAGCTGAGCTGCCTGCTTTGAGGGTGCCCTTGAGGCCCAGGACTGAGCCCTGGAGGGACAGGCTTCCTTCCTCCTGTTGGGGCTCAGAAAACAACGCCCCAAAATGAAGGCCTCAGCAGCAGCCTCGGAAGCAAACGTTTTCTCTGACCTTTTCCTGCCCTCCTGCCTCTCAGTCTCATTCTCCCCCACGGCACCGTAGAAACCAGACTGTTTTTCCCCAAGGCCAGTCATAGAAACCAGAACCCCTTCTCCCCAAAGCTGGTCATAAAACCTAAAAATATTACTCAGTTTTCCATCTGCGTTTCTATGTAAGAACTGACTACAAAGAAACGATATGACAGACCCTGTTTGACTACAGGTCACAAGACTCCCATTCCAGAGAGGGCCCTGCCCCACGCCCAGAGAAAAAAAAATGCTCAAAGAGGCCAAAAAAAATCTAGACAGACCTTGCTGGGTTCCCACTCAGTCTGTTAATATTAGATCAAGTCCTTTTTGTCCAATCCTTTTTCTAGAGGACTGTTCATACTTTTTTAAACCTAAACATAAAAGTGGACAATTTCCCCCATCTTTAGGTCTTTGCTTTAAAGGCACTCATATATACACACTAAATAAATTTGCATGCCTTTTCTCCTATTGATTGATCTGTCTCGTGTAGTGATTTTCACACTCCCCGCGGCAGGCACAGTGGGCCTGGGGTGCAGTTGTGGCCACTCGGACCCTCCTCGGAGCTGGTTTAGCTGTGCTATGTGCTTGTGGGAATGGATTACCATGATTTCTGGGCTCTAATAAACTGTGCTTCAATCGGCTGTTGAGTTAACGAGAGGCCTCGCTTCAGACCATAAACAGCCTCCGTGTGGGACAGAAACACACATCGTCACAGCCAGGAGGTCAGTCGGGATCTGCTTTGCTTACAAGGTCCAGAAACCCAGCAGAAAGCCCCAGAGGCCAGTCAGTGAAGAGTAACTTGTTTCAGCGACGTTGCCACACACGTGACACAAGCCACACATTGTCAGCTTCCACCTTTCAAGTCAAGAACCTGAAGCTGGATAAAGCCAGCAAGCCGCGAAAAACACCTCCGCTCAGTTTGGTCGTGGCAGGGAAAGGGAAAGAGCCGTGAAGAAAGGAGAGGGGGACGGAGAAGGGCAGCTGCAGAGGGAGGCGGGGGAGGCTGGCTGGGCGAGGACACTGAAGAGGGGACACAGCCACTCTGGGAACAGCGGCCAGCGGCGGATCTGCCTGGAATCCTGTTCCCTCCTGTCCAGGACGGGCCCAGCTCTGCAGACGGACACTTGTATGACCGCGTCACCCTTTCATCTGCGAATCGAAGGGGTGGTTATTCCTCTGGTTCTACTTTAGTTAAAGCTTTGGCTGAGATACTCTGGGAGTAGCAGGAGGTCTTGGAGCTGGCGTGCCCCTCCCGGGGGTTTATCAGCAGCAAGTGATAGGGTGAGTGCAGCCAAAATGGGTGGACGGGGGAGGGGCTGGAGAAGCCACAGCTGGTGCGCGCCAACGATGAGCTCTCCTGCTTGGTGCTGATGTACCTCGGCCCCTAACCCCACTGGTGTCCAGATGAGGACCTTGAGGCTCAGAGAGGTTAGGTCAAGGTGAGCACCAGCGTTGAGTTTCAGCCCCAGGTCTAACTGCTGCTGCCTCCGCATCGACTGAGTTGGCCCGGTCCGTTGTGAGGGCGGGTAGAGCCAGGGCCGAGGTGGGGATGTCCCACGCTGCAAAGATGGGTGCGACGGCACAGGAGCCAACCATCATCCCCAAAGACACAACTCCAAATACCTCATCCTGAAATCCCAAAGACATAACTCTGGAAAAAATAATGTCAATGTTATTTATTTACATTTTAAAAGGTATGTATTTGAGAAACAAAAACACAGCAGAACGTTTCATAGGCCAACTTACACAATAAAATAGGCAGTGATAACACAGGCATTTTTGCATAAACCCTGAGGAAAGTAACAGTGGTGGCATGGGTGTAGCAGTTACAAGAAGACAGACCATAAAGAAATAAGTCAAAAGAGAAACGGATACATGTGTATGACCATGGTTACTACTTGTGTGCACCCAGCCCTCTAACTGTGGTCATCTGAAGCATTAGGGGTGTTAGACTTTAGGGATATTGATCTTTAGGGATTTCAACATTGGAGATTATGGTGTTTGGGATTGTGTCTTTCAGGATTATGATCCAAACCCAGCTGGCCCTCCCCTACCTGCCCCAGGAATGTGGAGAGAGAACATTGCAGCCGTGGAGAACAATGCAGCAAAGCACAGCAGGGGAACCGGAAATGCTCAGCCTTTGACAGGGCACTTTTAGTTCTGGGGCCTTATCTTGAGGATATTCCAACATATACAAAAAGATTCATGCACAGAGATATTTACTTTAGCATTATTTGCCATAGGAAAAAAGTTGGAAACAACACATTTTATGTTCTGTGAAATGAAAGAACAGTTAAATAAATCATGACTCGAAGACGACTCCAGGGCTGTGTACCGAAGTTCAGGGACAGAATCATCTGAAACCGTTCCACCTGCACCTCAGCTTCCTCTGCTGTGTGTTGGGAATCAGGCGGGGGCCCAGTGAGATCACCAAAGTGCAGGCCAACGTGCAGGGCACAGGTGGGCGCCAGGGCGGGGACGCTGCACAGCCCCACGCTCTCGCCGAAAACGTGCAGAACGATTCAGAAGAACAGATTTCCATCGGTTAATAAAGAGCGACGTCCTCCAGCCGTGAGTGACACGTGACCCTTTGCCTGAGTCTTTTTATGTTTTTCCGTATGTTCTATATTTTCTACACCAAAATAAGCTACTTTCATAACCACAAAAACTTAATGGAAAGAGGAGGAGGAGGATGGGGTGGGGAGTAGTCGTCATGGGTTCAAGCCCTTCCTCTCTGCACGACTTGGATAACGCAGTATATTCACACAGCCGTCTCCCCATCTGTGAACTTCCCAGGGGCTTTTATTAGTTGATGTCCGAGACCTCCAGGGGCTCTCTTTATACCTCGTGATATCAAATGCCCACCTTTCCAGCTCCTCTTGGCCTCCTGCCTTTCCTGGAGGGAGATGCACTCACTGTAGCCGCCGACTAGATGGAGACAGACTGGCTCCTTCATGGGGAGGCCAGCCTGCCTGTCTCCCCAGCCCAGTCCCACTGTGCTGGCCTCAGTGGTGGAGGCAGACATGGAGCCCTGGAGGAACCACTCCTCCCCAGTCGCCAACGTCTGTGGCACTGAGAAGCACCTGTGCTATGAGGGACAGTGATGGGGTTGGATACACAGGTGACCCTACACCCCCAGGCTTGGTTCTGGGCTAAACAGTGGGTGTGGATTTGGGCCTAGGCCTCAGAGAAGCCAACAGCTGGGGGCAGGATGTTATTTAGGAATTCCAGGGCTTTCTGTATTCCAGATGTCCTATACTGTGCATATGTGTATGTGTGTGTGTTTGCACACGGTGTGTGCATGCAAACACATGTGCGTGCGTATGTGTGTGTTTTTCTGGCCGGGGTTGCAATCGCACAGTTTAGAAGTCACTGCTCTGCAGATTCTGTGACCACCTCCCCTATTTCTCACCAAATTCCCGTTTCTTCGGTTTTCGTTCCACTGCAGAAAGCATTCCGACAGGTCTCCTGCACTGGGGGGCAGTGGGTCCTGGTGTTCAAGTTTCTCTAGCCAGGGCCTGGAGCCCGATCCTGGTGGCTGGGGCACAGGGCTGACTCCAGGTGGGCCAAAAGCACCCTATCCAACTCTTTAGAACGGCTTTTCTCTCCTCCCTATAAAACATATTTTTGTATTACAACACCATACCAGAAAAAACACCAATTGCCAGTGAAAGTAGAAAACAGGGTGTTTGTTAAAATGAAAACATTAGATCGTTGATTCATAATGAGAAGAAGTTTCATTACTTCCCAGGCCCTGTGGAAGGTGCAAATTGGTGTGTTAGTGGCTGTTTGCATCTTTTCAGTTCCTTTCGTCTTTTCTCCTTATCCTGCTGTTTATATGGTCTCTGCTTTAAGTCAAACATTGTGAGTGGATTGATGGATGTACATGTGTGTGTGAGTGTGTGTGCACAGATGCATGAGAAGTGCAGACAGAGATGGGAGGTAACCAGGGGCACCACTGTTCTCTTCTTCCCAAACATTAATGTTAGGCTGTTTTGCTTCTGTTCTTGAGAGGGCACCCACCTTACTGCTTGGGAGCCTGGAAATAGCCCCACTGAAGCAGCTCTGAGGTCCGGGGCACCGTTTTCCTGGTCGTGGCCAGCTGAGTTGTGCATGGTCTTCTCCGTGGGATGTGCATGGAGCATCTGGTGGGAGCAGAGCCTCAGTTCCTCTCCTGCGTTCTCTTGCTGCAGGTGTTAGACCTGCTGCCCACCTGCGACCTGTTTACTGCCAGGGATAGACCTGTGGCCAGTGTGGAAAGCCAGATGCTTTGTCTGTACAGCCTGCGGGGCTCAGCCTTCCCAGGTTGCCTACAGCTAGGCAGGGCCAGGACCCCCAAGTCTGGGAACTTACACCTTTCTCACCTCCTTTCCTAAAGGTGGTTTTCCTTTGTGATCTCTCTCCCTGAATGATTAAACCACACTCTGAATAGAAAACTGTCTTGAAAACTGCTTTGCACGTACATCTGATGAGGTCCTCTGGAGGGCGGCCTCCACTCTCTAGTGGGCGAGGATCGTTCAGCCACCTTGGCTGTGTCACCGAGCTGCCAGAGGCAGACTGTAGCCCTGGGCTCACCTGCATGCAAAGATATTTTATTCTTTTATTTATTCCACAAATATATATTTATATTATTTGTATTTAGAGACAGCGTATGTCTCTGTCGCTCAGGCTGGAGTGCAGTGGCCCCATCTCACTGCAGCCTCAAGCTCCTGGGCCAAGCAGTCCTCCTACCCTGTCCTCCCAAACAAAACATTTTTACCGAGCTCTCTAGGAGGGTGCTGATTTTTAAAATCTAAGTTCTTATTTCTTTTTTCTTGATGCATAATCAATGTACATATTTTCAGGGTACATGTGATTGTTTAATACGTTCATATAATTGTAAAAATCAAATCAGCATACTCGAATATCTATCACCTTAAATATTTGTGTTTGCTTTCTGCTAGAACCATTCCGAGTCTTCTCTTCTAGCTCTTTTGAAATACACGGTAGACAACTGTCAACTATGAGCTATGTAACACTAGGTCTTATTCCTTTTATCAAACCATATATTTGTACCTTTTAATCAACTTCTCTTTGTCCCCCTCTCCCCACTACCTTTCCCGGCCTCTGGTCTACCCTCTATCTTCACGAGATCTACTTTTTTAGTAGGTGAGTGAGAACGTTCAGTGTTCGTCCTTCTGTGCTTGGCTTATCTCACTTAACAGAATGATCCCTGGTTCCATCCGTTGTGCAGATAACAGGCTGTCATTCCTCTGCATGGCGGAATAATATTGCACTGTGCATACGTACCATGTTCTGTGTGTCCACCGTCTGCTGCTGAACCCATAGGCTGATTCTGTATTTTGTTACCGTAAACAGTGCCGCAGTAAACAAGGGAGTGCAGATGTCTTTTCGATATATTGATTTCGTTTCCTTTGACTATATGCCCAGTTAGTGAAATTCCTGGATCATACAGTAGTTTTACTTTTTTTTTTTTTGAGACGGAGTCTCGCTCTGTCGCTAGGCTGGTGTGCAGCAGTGTGATCTCAGCTCACTGCAAGCTCCGCCTCCCGGGTTCCTGGGTTTAAGTGATTCCCCTGCCTCATCCTCCCAAGTAGCTGGGACTACAGGCGCCCACTATGGCCCACCATGCCCAGCTAATTTTTTGTATTTTACTAGAGACAGGGTTTCACCGTGTTAGCCAGGATGGTCTTGATCTCCTGACCTTGTGATCTACTCACCTCAGCCTCCTAAAGTGCTGGGATTACAGGCGTGAGCCACTGTGCCCGGCCCACTTTTATTATTTTTGTTTGTTTGTTTGTTTTTGAGGCGGAGTCTCGCTCTGGCGCCCAGGCTGGAGTGCAGTGGCCAGATCTTGGCTCACCACAAGCTCTGCCTCCTGGGTATTCTCCTGGCGCCATTCTCCTGCCTCAGCCTCCCGAGTAGCTGGGACTACAGGTGCCCACCACCACGTCCAGCTAATTTTTTGTATTTTTAGTAGAGATGGGGTTTCACCGTGTTGGCCAGGCTGGTCTCAAACTCCTGACCTTGTGATCTGCCTGCCTCGGCCTCCCAAAGTGCTGGGACCACAGGTGTGAGTCACTGTGCCCGGCCCCTTTTAGTTTTTTGAGGAGCCTCCATCTGTTCTCCATAGTGGTGGTGCTAATTGACATTCCCACAACAGTGTGTGCGGGTCCCCTTTCTCTACATCCTCGCCAGCATCCCTTATTCCCCGTCTTTTTGATGAAAGCCATTTTAACTGAGGTGAGATAATACCTCATTGTAGTTTTTTGATTTGCATTTCTCTGATGATTAGTGATGCTGAGCATTTTTTCATATACCTGCCAGTCATTTGTACATCTTCTTTTGAGAAATGTCTACTCATGTCTTTTGCCCATTTTTAAATTGGATTAATTGTTTGCTCTTGTTTGAGCTCCTGGTTATGAATCCCTTGTTAGGTGGGAAGTTTGCAAATATTTTCTCCCATTCTGTGGGTTGTCTCTTCAGTCTGCTGACTGTTTCCTCTGATGTGCAGAGGGTTCTTAGCTTGGTGTGATTTCACTTGTCTATTTTTGCCTTGGTTGCCTGTGCTTTTGGGGTCCTATCCAAAAAGCCTTTTCCCAGAACGATGTCCTGGAGCGCTTCCCTGCTGTCTTCTTCCAGTTGTTTTACAGTTTCAGGTCTCAGTTTTACCTTTAATGCATTTGGTTTGATTTCTGTGTATCGTAAGGGGGACGGGAGGGTCTAGTTTTGTTCCTCTGCGTGTCGTTATCGAGTTTCCCCTGCACCACTTACGAAAGAGACTGTCTTTCCCCCACATGGTCTTGGTCGTTTTGTTGAAGATGAGCTGGCTGTAAATGTGTGATTTACATCTGGGTTCTCTATTCTGTTCCACTGGACTGTGTGTCTGTTTTACGCCATTACCAGGCTGATTTGGTTACTATAGCTTTGTAGTAAATTCTGGAGTCAGGTAGTGCGGTGCCCCTGGCTAAATCCTTGTATCTTATGGACAATTATGGACATAACTGTGTTTTGTCATCTTTCCACTTCTGTGTAACTCAGGGCTGCCTACTCGGTGATTCGGATTATTAGAATGTGGTCTCGTGTCCCGAAGGCATCGTTCTTGGCCCTCGCTTCAGATTCCTGTGTGACTCCCTCCCGTGAATGCGGCTGCCGCACGCACCTTCCGACGCACCTTCTGCACACGCAGGCCGCCCGCATGCACCTTCCGCACGCACCTTCCGCACGCAGGCCACCCGCAGTTTCAGGGAGGAGGTTTGACATCATCAGATCACTGGAGTTTGTTAGCAGCTACTGCTATTCTTGCTTTGAAAATACAGATTGCAAGGAGTTTCGTTTCAGTATCCTCAGCTGTAGGGTTTTTTTATAAACGTGCTATATGACAAATACATAATTTTGTCACTGGAGATTAGACCTGGAGTTTTCAATAACTAGATTTTTAGGTTGCTTGTGTTACAGGTCCAATATGTATCCATAGCCTTATTCTAAAAGTGGATGTAGTAATAATTCACTACAAATTTGCTAGTATAGTGATTGATAATGATTATGTCTACATTCCTTTTCCACTGGAAGAGGTGAGCTGGGAGGGTCTGCATGTCAAACGTCTTTGCCTCCCGAGACGATTCTCCAGTAAGTGCTGAGATCAGAGGCTTGGAGTGTCCAGAATGAGATCCAACAAGAACTGAGCTGAGGCAGCCTCAAGAGGAGTGGAGGGCTGTGCCTTAGCACACCCCAGTTCCCATGGGTTCCTGATTTCTGTTCCAGAGGCAGGAGATCTGGCCCTCAGAACTTTGCCCACAGAACTCATATCAGAGGCGATAGTTCCACATTTGTCTACAGTGAAGAAGACATGCCTGGCATTTAACGCCTTTGGCTACGGTCCGTGAAAGTCTGTTGGCTGAAGTCCTGCTACATGTGCGTGCTGCTGAGACCCTGAGGATGTCTGTCCGTGGGGGTCAGCCCTCACTTCGAGCTTCATTCATACATTTGTGGCCCTCTTGGGCCAGACACATGACTAGAACCAAAGTTACAGAGTCAAAGGGACCCTATCTGAGAGCCCCAGACAGGCAGGATAACACAGCGAGGTGTCTGAGCACTCGTTCATGCCAGACTAGAGCTGAGCAGTCTCTCTTATGCCCTCCTCAAAGAGGGTCACTCACCAGACACTTGTTCAAAATGGCAGGAAACACCGGTCAAGACTATTGCAATAGGTTGGGTGTGGTGGCTCATGCCTGTAATCCCAGCACAGGTGGGAGGATCACTTGAAGCCAGGACTTCAAAACCAGCCTGGGCAACAAAGCAGGACCCCGTCTCTACAATATTTTAAAAAATTATTTGGTGCAGTGGCACGCACCTGTAGTCCCAACTACGCAGGAGGCTGAGGTGGGAGGATCCTTTGAGCCCAGGAGTTTGAGGCTGCTGTGAGCTGTGATTGTGCTACTGCACTCCAGCCTGGTTGACAGAGCAAGGCCCTGTCTCTTAAGAAAAAAAAAAAAAGCTATTGCAATAGGAGAGAGAGAGACTGAATTCAACTCTCAATACGACAGAGACAAGTGGGGATGGCCAATGAGCAGGGTGAGGGAGATGATGAAAAGTTACCAGAGGAACTTGGTTAGATAGCAAGGGAGGGAAGATTCTCACGAAAGGACCTTAGCAGGATTCCTTGCTAGCACTGAGCTCAGCAGGCCAAGGATGAGGCTTTATCACGGAGAAGGCTCAAAGGAGCCTGAGTGGAGTTTGGTCAAGAAGAGTGTCTTTGTCATCCTAGAAATGACTCATTTTATAGGTAATTAAGTAGGGGGTTCATACAGGTCAAAGAACTTGCCAGAAAGAGGAAATTGTGTTCATGTGGCTGGTGGCTCACACCGGTAACTGACAGTGACTTCCTCTTAGAAACTCAGAGTGTGCGTGTCTCTTTGAATCCGTGTGTGTGTGTGCGCGCATGTCCCTCAGTCTCTTCTGAATTTCTCTCCTGATCCCTGTCTCTCTCTCTCTCTCTTTCCTTGGGTTGGTGTTTCCCTCCCGCTGGCCTCTGGCCAGCTATTTCTGGAAGTGTCAGCTGCTCTGTCTTCCTGCCCCTGTCGACCCCTGTTTCTGACTCCCTTTCTTTCCCTTACAAAACCCTCAATGCAAGTCCCACTGTCTCTGTAACTGGCCACTGCCCATAACAAATCTTTTGCTTAGGTTGTGTTTCTTTGTAGGATAGATGATGTTCTGTGTGCTTGATTTTTACAAGATGAGCACAGTACCTTATGTTTCTTCTTTATTAAAAAAAAGAAAAAGCCAACCACAAGATTAATGTCTCCTCAGGGACTGTGCCGCGCTGGAGCCTCTCCACAGGCAGCCCGAAGGAAAATGGAGGGAGCTGCCTCTTTCCGTGGCCGGCGTGCCCACCCCAACCAGGCTGCCTCTGCCACCCAAGACAGAGGTTCTCAGATAATAAGTTATGGGGATTGTTTCCAGAGACCACACCCGAAGCTGCCCACTCCCCAGAGGGAAGGCCCTGGTTCATGGCCGACGAATTTCTCCCTAAGGCCCTGAAACTGCCTACTCAGAACCAAGCCAGTTTTTCCTGCCTGTCCTGTTTGGGCAGCCAGAGGAGGCAGCTAGAAACCCATTATGCAGGGGATGGGGGTAAGTGGAGGAGGGAGAGGTGGGGGGAGGAGTGGGGAGGAGGAGGAGGGAAACAGGGGACCCCAGGCTTTGGCTACGAAGGGGTCTGCCTTTCTACACTATTCCGGGACACTGGTGTCCACCACTGCCGCCTGGGCACGGGGAACAGAGACTGCCCGGTGGGAGCAGACAAGAGATTTGAGGATCTCAGCTTCTTCTCTTCAGTGTGTGCCTGGGAGAAGGTGCAGGTACAGCCAGTGGGGTAGGATTGAAAAAAGGGACCCGAGAGTTTGGAGACAGTCGCCCACAATGCACCAGCTCTCTGTGTGTCACAATCTTGCCTGTCAGGGACCACGATCCCACTTCACAGTTAGCAAATAGCAGCTCAGGGACATTCAGCAACTCGTCCAGCATCCCACCAGACAGTTACACCTTCAGGGTTGTCTGTGTCTGTTAAAGTCAAGTCTAGTTTCGGGTCTCAGAGCACCTTCCTAAAGCTGCCGTAAGCCAAAAACGAAATTCTAAGCCCTACAGCTGATGGAATGGACCCCGCCTCTGGGCCAAGGGGATTCCAAACAAACCTGAAAAACTAGTTCAGGCCATGATGAGAAGGAGTGGGGGCTGGACAAGCCTTATACCCTCCTCCCTTCTTCGGAATTTGGGCACAACTGACCAGAAATGACATTAAAACAGAGATCTTAAGACTGACAAGGCGCTCTGTAGCAATAAGACACCAAATTCCAACCTGACGCCAGAGTATAGCATCACATGACAGATAGAAGGCCGTGAAATCAATATTTTACCTCAAAATATATTTCTTTGACATATCTTGAAATGGCCCTGCCAAGCTGTCTCTTGTGGGGAACATTTACATTCTATAGAGAACCACCTTCCCTTTCCAGGTCTTCTTCTGATGCTGAAGAAACTGGCTGAGAGTCTGGCACCTGCTATAGGTCTGAACAGCAAACATTTGCCATCTGTTGTCTCTAAGGGTGACCACCTATGAGATTTCATCTATGTAATAAGAACCGTGGTCTCCACGGTCTCTTATCTTAACCCAGACACTCCTTTCTATTGACAGCAGGTCTGTAGATAATAATTCTTTCAACCAATTGACAATTAGAAAATCTTTGACACTGTCTATGACCTGGAAGCCCCATTATTTTCAATTGTCCTCTTTCCAGACCAAACCAGTGCATGACTCCTGGGTACTGACTGTGGTCTTACGTCTCCCTAAGGTGTATAAACCAAACTGCAGCCTGACTACGTTGTACGCATGTTCTCAGGACCTCCTGAAGCGGCGTCACAGGCGTTAATCCAAGAACACAACCAAAGTGAGTCTCAATCATTTTAAGAAATCTGTTTGCCAAAGTTAAGGACACACCTGAGGAAAGAACACAAAACCACAGGAAAAACTGTGGTCCGTGCTTTTCCCAGAGATGGTCTGGGGACCTCAGTAGTTAAAGGGGAAAATGTGGGTATTGGGGAAAGGGGAAGAAATGGAAGAAATGGGTAAATCAGAGGCAAGTGGTGCATTCTTTTGTCTTTGGTCAGCGTTCACTGAATACACATTTTACGTGCGATGGAGGTAGAGGCAGGGATGTAGCTTTTTTATCTTTGTGTAATATCTATCTTATTTGGGAACCAAATAGGAAGCAGGTTTGTGTGAGCCAGTTCCCAACTTGACTTTTCCCTTTGGCTCAGTGAGTCTGGGGTCCCAGGATTTGTTTTCCTTTCACACAGGTCATGGTCCTCACATTTGGCTCAGAATATTCAAAGTTTTTTTCCAGAGTTTGGCTTTTCCCTCAGCACTGGGAATTGTGATCCAAAGCTTTTCCTGACGAAGCACAAAGTTGGAGAAACAAAACGCAAACTAAACAACAACAATCAAACAGAACAGAGTTAATCTGCTGTAGCTCAAGAGAGGACGCACCTGCCCCCACCCCCCCGTCCCTGGGCTCGGGTTTGCCTTGCTGACTTCTGCTGCCACCTGGTGCCGCACAGAGGAACTGAGAGGAATCCACACCAGGCTCCTTCAGCCTCAGCTTCATGTCACCTGTGTAATGTGGGAAAACTTCCCTCTCAGGAGAATGCACACATCCAACTTTGTGAAGATGCCCTTGGGGGTGCTTCAAGGATCCTAGATAAAGAACCCTCTTTCCAGAACATCCAAGAACCTAAGTTTTCGGTCTGGAGTGGTGTCAGCATGACACTGATTTCCTGAGACCCAGGGGTGATGCACTGGCCTCCCATCCTCTGAAGTCACCCAGAACTGGGATGTGCTCAGGTTACGAAGCTGTCTCAAGGTGGGAACACATTAATCCAAGAGCAGATCCCTGATTCTATAAAAATGTACTAGATGCAGTGGGGGCCTTTCAAATCAGCAGGGAAGGACACCCAGAGAAACAGAAGGATAGACGATACTGGGACTGGGATAAATGCTCAGCTTTGGCCCAAATCTTAGTGACTTAACACAAGCCTCACTTATTTGCTCACGATTCTGTGACTGGACCATTTGGTTTGGCTCACAGGGCAGTGACTGCGCTTGTCTTACCTGAGCAGACCTGCATGTCTGTGGTTAACTGGGATGGCAGAGACAGAGCGACTGCCTTCCTCCAGAGCCACTGCCTTCCTCCAGAGCCACTGCCTTCCTCCGGAGCGACTGCCTTCCTCCGGAGCCACTGCCTTCCTCCGGAGCCACTGCCTTCCTCCAGAGCGACTGTCTTCCTCCAGAGCGACTGTCTTCCTCCAGGAGGCAGCAGGTTGGCTCTGGCTCCTTCGTGGGGCAGCTGGTCTCCAGGGCAGCAAGAGAGACCAAGCCCCAGTGCACATACCACAGCCCCAGTGCACGTCAGACTTGTTAATATCATTGGCCAATGCAAGTCACACGGCCAAGCCCAGATCAAGGAGTGGAAAGATGGACCATATCTCCTCCTGGGATAGGAGGCAAAGGAGGTAGGAGCGATATGTGGCCACTTATGTTTGCAATCTACCATCTTAGCACTTTGAGAAGAGAATTAACTGAGAAACTTGTTTCAAATAGGGCATTCACTAAAATGAAGCCCCAATTGAAGTAAAACGTGTATATAAAAAATGAAACTGACAGATTTTAAGGACAGTCTTGGCAAATATTTCTGTGCTCCTGGAGGAGAAGACCCTTATTGGCATGACATGTCAGAAACCACAATGGAAGAATTATTTTAACTTGCATTCATAAAAATTAAAATTATTCCTTAAAAACATGGTGAATGAAATTAAAAGTCAAAATGTAAGCTAGAAAATTATTTACAACATATGTGTTAGGAAGAGACAATACCCTTCAGACTTGAGAGTTTACATCAGAAAGGAAACAGCAAATGACATGATCCGAACTTGATAAAGAACGTGAAAAATAGCCAGCACTTGGTAGGTTTTCTGAATGAATAAGTAGCCAACAGCACATGAAAATGTGTTTAATCCATTTGTAAGCAGAGAAATGCAAATTAAAACAGTAAAGTGTCATTGTCACTTCCTGAATTGGCAAAGGATTTTATGTATTTTACTGACAGTGCTGAGTATTAGCAGTAAACAACAAATAGTGAGTAAATACGAGCTTCAGAACCTCAGGGAAATGATCTCCTCATTTCATCCTGTAGATTCCTTCTGACGTCCAGTGTCTGCTGAGCACCTACTTTGTGCCAGGCACAGCCTAAGCCTGAAGGAGCAGTCTCCACCGAGAAGGTGATATTTGCACAAAGACCTGAAAGGCCGGAGTGAACTGTGTGGTACCTGTGGGTACCCTCCAGGCAGAGAGGCAGCAATGTGGGTCCCAAGGTGGGACCACATCAGACACGTTCGAGGGCTAGCTGAGGGTGAGGTGGGGAGGAGATCAGAGGTGATGGGGGCTGGCTCTGCCGGCCAACACAAGCACTCTGGGTTTTCCTCCAAATGCTGTGAGAGCAGAGGAGTAACCTGGTCTGACTTGGGTGTGAGCAGATCTCTCTGGTTGTTGTTCTGGAAAAAACCGAGGTGCCCAAGTGAAAGCTGAGATTCGTTAGGAGGCTGCCGCAACAACTCAGGCAAAATGGGTGGTGGGGCTGGGGCACAGTGGAGAAGCAATCGGATTTCGGATGTTTGGAGCTCCCCCAGTAAGATTTCCTGGAGAAGGAGATGACTTCAATCTTCTGGCCTGAGTAGCTGAAAGGGTGAAGCTGTCCTTCGTGGAGCTGGGGAATCCGCAGAGAAGCGGGTTTGAAGAGAGTGTCAGGAGCTCAGTTTCAGCCATGGGTGTTCGAGGGGAGGTGTTGAGCAACAGATAGAGACACAAGCCTGTGGTCCCAGGAAAAGGTCTAGGGGTCACTAGCCCATGGATGGAGTCACAGGCTGCAAGGATCCCGGGAAAGTGAAGGTGGAAAGAGAAGAGCAGAGCACCAGGACGGACCGTGGAGCACCCTGGAGTTGAGAGCTAGTGGCCTCCAGTCAGAGCTGGGTCAGGGCCACTGTGAGTGAGCTGGGTCTGCTGTCTGGGACGGTTTATCTGCTTCTCACTTTACTGGTACTATGAGGCAGCTCCTGCTGTCTTCCAATTTGGTGTTTGTAAACTGAGGCATGAAAAGCAGGTGACAAGGATACAAGGAAGTGCACAGGTCTGAGTGGAGGATGGGGCTATCTCCAGGGGAGCGCTTTGTGCCTTTGCCTCCACATACCTCCCCTTTCCTCCCCAGAGCCTCCATAACCCTGGCCATGGAGCACAACAGATCGCTACTGAGGTTTGGGAAGCAGGTGGGAGTGCTGGGGTCCTGAACCTCCTTGCCAGCCCTGAAGGTTTCTGGCCCTTTCCCTTCTGACTTGCAGCAGGGAAACTGAGCAGAGGGGACCCTGCAGGGGCCTTCTGAGTATTCATGTAATTTATTCATTTGTTCGGTCATGTATTTTATCATCACAGGCATGCATGGTCATAATTTTTCTGTCTTTTCTAGATGAGAAGCTGAGGTTGAGAGAAGTTACCTAATGGGCCACAGTCACACAGCTGGGAAGTGCAGAACCAATATCCACCTCACATTCGAAGGTCTTTTCTGAACCCCGTCTGCCCCACCCTAGTTATAGGTGAGGGCAGATCTGCGAATGGCAGAGCAGAATCAGTTTCCAGGGCTGAGGAGTATGCGTTCGGGTGGAGGGTGGGGTTGGAGGGTGTGGTGGCTCCTGGATCCCCTGTGTGTCAGAGCTTGCAGAGGAAGGGCCCCCAGTGTGAGTGCACAACTAGCCCTGGCCTTATGTCCCTGCTTGGGGAGAGGATGTGCAGAAGAGGATGACACCAGCAGGAGGTGTCCCTGGAGAGGGGCTGTTTGGAAGGAGGGGTGACAACTGAAAATCAGGGTCCGTGGGCATCCCTGCTTGTTTTGGAGCCATGGACACTCAAATTATGTTATTTTATAAGGCTGTTGAAGAAAAAAATGTCCACAGGACCAAGAGGCCGGGAAGACCCCAGCTCTCCGACTGGTGTTTGCTTCTCTGCCATCAGGGTCAGGAGGCCATGCCAAGCATTGCGAGTTGCAGAGTCCGTGAGACAGGAGCACTCCCACCTCCTTGGGGCCTCTCCCAACACCACCACATATTGGCCGTATACCTGCAGCACAGGGGACAGTGACCTCAGCGGCCTGCCTCTGCACACAGCCAGCATGTAGCTGGCTCCTTTCTTCTCCCGCTTGCATGCCTCCAAGCCTTCAAAACAAACTCATCTCCATGTTCTGTGAATTACCAATTTTTTAAAAAATGAAAAAAATAAACACACTCATCTCTGAAGGTCACACAATTTTTAAGTATCTCTTGTTTCTCCTAAAATTACCATACTACCTTTAGCTACCTCATTAAAATTCTAGTAGACATTTTTGTGGACATCAGCAAATTAATTATAAAATTTATAGGGAAATGCAAAGGGTTTGGGTTTGGGTTCGGGTTCGGGTTTGGGTTAGAGTTCGGGTAAGGGCTAGGGCTAGGGTTAGGGTGAAGGTTTTAGGAGTAGGGTTAGGGTGAAAGTTTTAGGGTTAGGGTTAGGGTTCGGGTTCGGGTAAGGGCTAGGGCTAGGGTTAGGGTTAGGGTGAAGGTTTTAGGGTTAGGGTTAGGGTGAAGGTTTTAGGGTTAGGCTTAGGGTTCAGGTAAGGGCTAGGGCTAGGGCTAGGGTTAGGGTGAAGGTTTTAGGGTTAGGGTTAGGGTGAAGGTTTTAGGGTTAGGGTTAAGGTTCGGGTTTGGGTAAGGGCTAGGGCTAGGGGATAGGTCTAGGGCTAGGGGCTAGGGCAATTGCAAATTCGGCTGCTCAGTGTATAGTGTTGTGTTTATTAGCTTTCAGCAATGCTAATCCCGAGTGCCAGGCTGCTCCGTGGTCTTTTAGAGGGAAAGCACATTTAGTTGATTATATCAAGGCCTGTGATGGTATCAGAGGTAATCTGCATAAAGCTACTTTGTTGGCACAGGCAATGGTAGGACTGAGGGTGGATAGAGGAAATACTCTGTTTCCTGGAGCTTATTTTAACTGTGAGAAGCATGGTCATACTAAAACAGAATGTAGAAAAAATCAGTGAGTCAGCCCACCAGATAGGGGAAAAAAGAAAACTGCTGATCTTGAAATATGTCCAAAATGTAAAAAAGGAAAACATTGGGCTAATCAGTGTCACTCTAAATTTGATAAAGATGGGAACCCGATTTCGGGAGATGCTGAGGGGACCGTCCCAGGCCCCATTCCAAACCAGGGCATTTCCAGCTCAGGCCATTCCCTCCTCCCTGTACAATGTCTGTCCCCCACCACAGCCGGTAGTGCCACAGTAGATTTATGCTGCACAAAAGCTCTGAGCCTTCTGCCTGGGGAACTCCTGCAAAAAGTTCCAACAGGGTTCTGTGGACCCTTGCGACTGGGGATGATAGGATTACTTCTAGGAAGGTCTAGTTTAAATTTAAAAGGAGTACAAATACATACAGGAGTCATTGATTTAGGTTACAGTGGGGAAATTCGAACTGTTATATCTACGTCTGTTCCCTGGAAACAGAGCCAGGAGAGCGTATAGCACAGCTCCTGATTATGCCATATGTGGAAATGGGGAAAAGCGAAATGAAATGAACAGGAGGATTTGGAAGCACAAACAAACAAGGCACGGCAGCTTATTGGGTGAATCAAATTACTGATAAACGTCCTACCTGTGAAATAACTATTCAGGGAAAGAAATTTAAAGGTGTGGTAGATACAGGAGCAGACATTTTAATCATGTCTCTGTAACACTGGTGATCCACATGGCCAATTCAATTTAACATAGTTTAATTTAACATAGTTGGAGTTGGTAAATCCCCTGAAGTATATCAAAGTAGTTGTTTTGCATTGTAAAGGCTCTGATGTACAACTTGGGACTATTCAGCCAATTATAACTTCTATACCTATAAATTTATGGGGGAGAGATTTATTACAACAATGGGGAGTACAAGTTCTAATTCCAGAACAATTAGACAGCCCCCAAAGTCAACACATGATGCATTAAATGGGGTATGTCCCTGGTATGGGACTAGGACAAAATTTGCAAGGTTTGAAAGAACTGCTTAAGTGGAAAGACAAAGTTCCCGCCGAGGTTTAGGATATCATTTTTGATGGTGGCCATCGTTAAGCCTCCAGAACCTATACCTTTAAAATGCTATCCAAATTGGCTAGAACAATGGCCGCTGAGTAAAGAGAAACTGCAGACTTTAGAGGACTTGGTTACTAAACAATTCTGGATAATCATTTTCCTAAAATGAAACTGTTTCAATTGTTGAAATTAACAAATTGGATTCTCACTAAAATAACTAAATTTAAACCAATTGAAGGTGTGAGAATGTTTTTTACAGATGGGTCTAGTAATGGTAAAGCTTCTTATTCTGGCTCAAAATGTAAAGATTTTCAGATGCCCTATACTTCAGCTCAAAAAGCAGAGCTTATAGCTGTAATTGAGGTATTGAATGCTTTTGATATGCCTATTAATGTGGTTTCTGTTCTTCATATGTGGTTCATTCCACAGAATTAAATGAAAATGCTCAGTTACAATTTCATACAGATGAACAACTGATGACTTTATTTATCCAATTGCAAACAGCAGTTAGGAGTAGAATGCCCCCTTTTTACATCACTCACATTAGGGCTCATACACCTCTTCTAGGACCTTTGACTGCAGGGAATCAAATGGCTGATTGCCTAGTTGCTACTGCCATATCTAATGCTAGACAGTTTCACAATTTAACCCATGTTAATGCCTCTGGTCTCAAATGCAGATGCAGCGTTACCTGGAAAGAAGCTAAAGCTGGGTGGTTCCAAGATGGCCGAATAGGAACAGCTCCAGGCTACAACTCCCAGCGTGAGCGACACAGAAGACAGGTGATTTCTGCATTTCCAACTGAGGTACTGGGTTCATCTCACTGGGGCACATTGGACAGTGGGTGCTGGACAGTGGGTGCAGCCCACCGAGTGAGAGCCGAAGCAGGGTGAGGCATTGCCTCACCCAGGAAGTGCAAGGGGTAAGGGAATTCCCTTTCCTAGCCAAGGGAAACCCTGACACACAACACCTGGAAATTGGGGTCACTCCCACCCTAATACTGTGCTTTTCCAAGGGTCTTAGCAAACTGCACACTAGGAGATTGTATCCTGCACCTATCTTGGAGGGTTCCATGCCCATGGAGCTTCGCTCATTGCTAGCACAGCAGTCTGAGATCTAACTGCAAGGTGGCAGCGAGGCTGGGGGAGGGGTGCCCACTATTGCTGAGGCTTGAGTAGGTAAAAAAAGCGACCGGGAAGCTCGAACTGGGTGGAGCCCACTGCAGCTTAAGGAGGCCTGTCTGCCTCTGTAGACTCCACCTCTGGGGACAGGGCATAGCCAAACAAAAGTCTGCAGAAACCTCTGCAGATTTAAATGTCCCTGTCTGACAGCTTTGAAGAGAGTAGTGGTTCTCCCAGCATGGAGTTTGAGATCTGAGAATGGACAGACAGCTTCCTCAAGTGGGTCCCTGACCCCCAAGTAGCCTAACTGGGAGGCACCCCCCCAGTAGGGGCCGACTGACTCCTCACACAGCCAGGTGCCCCTCTGAGATGAAGCTTCCAGAGGAATGATCAGGCAGCAACATTTGCTGTTCAGCAATATTCACCATTCTGCAGCTGATACCGAGGCAAACAGAGTCTGGAGTGGACCTCCAGCAAACTCCAACAGACCTGCAGCTGAGGATCCTGACTGTTAGAAGGAAAACTGACAAACAGAAAGGACATCCACACCAAAGCCCCATCTGTACGTCACCATCATCAAAGACCAAAGGTAGATAAAACCACCAAGATGGGTGAAAAACAGAGCAGAAAAGTTGAAAATTCTAAAAATCAGAGCAGCTCTCCCCCTCCAAAGGGACGCAGCTCCTCACCAGCAATGGAACAAAGCTGGATGGAGAATGACTTTGATGAGTTGAGAGAAGAAGGCTTCAGATGATCAAACTTCTCCGAGCTAAAGGAGGAAGTTCGAACCCATTGCAAAGAAGCTTAAAACCTTGAAAAAAGATTAAATGAATGGCTAACTAGAATAACCAATGTAGAGAAGTCCTTAAATGACCTGATAGAGCTGAAAACCATGGCATGAGAACTACGTGACAAATGCACAAGCTTCAGTAACTGATTCGACCAACTGGAAGAAAGGGTATCAGTGATTGAAGATCAAATGAATGAAATGAAGTGAGAAGAGAAGTTTAGGGAAAAAAGAGTAAAAAGAAATGAACAAAGCCTCCAAGAGATATGGGACTATGTAAAAAGACCAAATCTACGTCTGATTGGTGTACCTGAAAGTGACGGGGAGAATGGAACCAAGTTGGAAAACACTCTGCAGGATATTATCCAGGAGAACCTCCCCAACCTAGCAAGGCAGGCCAACATTCAAATTCAGGAAATACAGAGAACGCCACAAAGATACTCCTCAAGAAGAGCAACTCCAAGACACATAATTGTCAGATTCACCAAAGTTGAAATGAAGGAAAAAATGTTAAGGGCAGCCAGAGAGAAAGGTTGGCTTACCCACAAAGGGAAGCCCATCAGACTAACAGCGGATCTCTCAGCAGAAACTCTACAAGCCAGAAGAGAGTGGGGGCCAATATTCATCATTCTTAAAGAAAAGAATTTTCAACCCAGAATTTCATATCCAGCCAAACTAAGTTTCATAAGTGAAGGAGAAATAAAATCATTTACAGACGAGCAAATGTTGAGAGATTTTATCACCACCAGGCCTGCCCTACAAGAGCTCCTGAAGGAAGCACTAAACATGGAAAGGAACAACTGGTACCAGCCACTGCAAAAACATGCCAAAATGTAAAGACCATCAATGCTAGGAAGAAACCGCATCAACTAATGAGCAAAACAACCAGCTAACATCATAATGACAGCATCAAATTCACACATAACAATATTAACCTTAAATGTAAATGGGCTAAATGCTCCAATTAAAAGACACAGACTGGAAAATTGGATAAAGTGTCAAGACCCATCAGTGTGCTGTATTCAGGAGACCCATCTTACATGCAGAGACACACATAGGCTCAAAATAAAGGGATGGAGGAAGATCTGCCAAGCAAAAGGAAAACAAAAAAAGACAGGGGTTGCAATCCAAGTCTCTGATAAAACAAACTTTAAACGAACAAAGATCAAAAAAGACAAGGCCATTACATGATGGTAAAAGGATCAATTCAACAAGAAGAGCTAACTATCCTAAATATATATGCACCCAATACAGGAGCACCCAGATTCATAATTCCTAAACAGTATAATTGTGAATTAGCGATGAACATATTTTTGAAAGTTCTTTAAGAGATTCAAGCAAGCACCCAGGTTTGAGAGCCATTGACACAAGGCAATCCTCTCACTCACAGATGAAGCTGTTAAGACATCCAGATCAGTCAGAGCTGATAGTCACTGCACACTGGCGGATGTGCCATGGGCACTGCTGGTTGTTATGACCACCATGCTTTCTCATTGGTCAATGGCCATCCTGTGTCCATAGTGATGGTTAGTGTCCATGATAAAAATTTCAAATACAATTATATTTTGCAGCTAATAAGTAGAAAGATGAAAGATCTGATGAGAGTTCATTATACCACAACTGACAAGGATATCTGAGTTTTTTTTTTTCCTGTGGCATACAACATTTAAAATAATAACTGGAATTATGACTCATAACTCTATACCAGTACATAGCATGAATAAGGAGGATGTTGATGAATTTCCAGGAATTTTATATAATTTCTGAAAACATAACATTTTACCCATACAAATATAACAAAGTTTAGGTATCTCTTTTTATTTGTATATTTTGTATGGTTTTCCTTATAAAATATTACATCCTATTTTTCTTGCACAACATGCCCTTTTTTTTTTTTTTTTTTTGAGACAGAGTCTCGGTCTGTCCCCCAGGCTGGAGTACGGTGGCATGATCTTGGCTCACTGAAAGCTCCACCTCCCGGGTTCACACCATTCTCCTGCCTAAGTCTCCTGAGTAGCTGGGACTATAGGCGCCTGCCACCATGCCCAGCTAATTTTTTGTATTTTTAGTGGAGACATGGTTTCACCATGTTAGCCAGGATGGTCTCGATCTCCTGACCTCATGATCCACCCGCGTTGGCCTCCCAAAGTGCTGGGATTGTAGGCTTGAGCCACTGCACCTGGCCTGTTTCTAGTAGTTTTATTTACATATATTGATTATAATTTTAATACTTTTATTTTCCAGAGAAAACTAGGACATAGACCGTTTTAAACTGTCATATGTTAGCATTCTGTAGTAGATTAGAAAATGTATGAGTATACCATCTCCCAACATCGGGATGTGTTTTCTCATAGTACATATGTTTCTCATAGTACACAGTACAGTGTCGTTGTTTCTCATAGTACGTAGTACAGTGTGGTAGTTTCTCATAGTACACAGTACAGTGTGGTAGTTTCTCATAGTACGTAGTACAGTGTGGTAGGCAAAAACATGTTTATTAACAGGCCAAAATATCTAGAGTCTCTGTAAAAATAAGAAGCCAAAAGTATATAAACTTGAATTACTTATGTTTAGTAATTAATGTTTAGTATTGTATCTTATTTATAAATGATCTAGATATTTAATGGAAATATTTTACTTAGCTTAACTTTAAGGTTAAAAATTACCAAAAGTATTTTGGAAACTACTATTAGGCAGATTTACTGTAAAAAACTTATTATTGAAATAATGTTTTTCACTTTTCACAAGATGGTACCAAAAGTGAAGAAGGAAGCTCCTGCCCCTCCTAAAGCTGAAGCCAAAGCAAAGGCTTTAAAGGCCAAGAAGGCAGTGTTGAAATGTGTCCACAGCCCCCCAGAAAAGAAGATCTGCACCTCACCCACCTTCCAGTGTCCCAAGACACTGCGACTCCGGAGGCAGCCCAGATATCCTGGGAAGAGCGCCCCCCGGAGAAAGAAGCTTGACCACCATGCTATCATCAAGTTTCCACTGACCACTGAGTCGGCCATAGAGAAGATAGAAGACAACAACACGCTTGTGTTCACTGTCGATGTTAAAGCCAACAAGCACCGGATCAAACAGACTGTGAAGAAGCTCTGGGACGTGGATGTGGCCACAGTCAACATCCTGATTCGGCCTGATGGAGAGAAGAAGGCATATGTTCGACTGGCTCCTGATTACGATGCTTTGGATGTTGCCAACAAACTTGGAATCATCTAAACTGAGTCTAGCTGGCTGATTCTACATAGATGTATATCTTTTCACCATAAAAAAGAGGAAATAATGTTTTTCATAAGAATGACGACTTAAAATCTTAAAACTTATAGATTTGATTCTAATTATCTAGTAAGTATAATATTAGCTTCTTGTAAGCACTCAAGCAGAATAGAAATTTGTTTGTTGGCCGGGCATGGTGGCTCACACCTGTAATCCCAGCATTTTGGGAGAACGAGGTGGGCGGATCATGAGGTCAGGAGATCAAGACCATCCTGGCTAACACTGTGGAACCCTGTCTCTACTAAAAATACAAAAAAAAAATTAGCTGGGTGTGGTGGCAGGCACCTGTAGTCCCAGTTACTTGGGAGGCTGAGGCAGGAGACTGGCGTGAACCCAGGAGGCGGAGCTTGCAGTGAGCCAAGATCGCACCACTGCACCCCAGCCCGGGTGACAGAGAGAGACTACATCTCAAAAAAAAAAAAGAAAAAGAAAAAAAAAAAGAAACTTGTTTGTTTTTATTTAATAGTGATAACTCTGAAGACATAGTTGTTTTATTACACAAAAAATATTAAATTTATCTTATTTAACTAAGTTGTGTCCAAATCGCATTCACTTGAAAAACATTTGGATCAGTTGCTATATTTCTAGGAGTTTGGGGGATATTTATTTATAAATGATTATTTTTTTTCCAAGTCAAGTTAGAACAGAACATTTATAGAGGATTTTATAAATGGATTTTGCAGTGCTATCCAGAGTTAAGAAAAATCACATATACAGAACATACATTAATAGACATACAAATAGAAATCTCATAGCTTTCATCCTGAAATTTTAGTCACGAATCAGGCATAAATATTCTGATGGTTAATTTTAGACGTCAGCTTGATTGGATTAAGAGATACTAACATAGCTGGTAAAGCAGTTTCTGGGCATAAGTGTGAGGGTGTTTCTGGAAGACACTGAGATAAGGAAGATCCACCCTGACCCAATGTGGATGTGCACTGATATGGTTTGGCTGTGTCCCCACCCAGATCTCATCTTGAATTGTAGTTGCTATGATCCCTACATGTTGTGGGAGGGACCTGGTGGGGGACGATTGAATCATGGTGGTGGTTACTGCCATGCTGTTCTCGTGATAGTGAGTGAGTTCTCATGATCTGATGGTTTTATGGCTTAGCACTTCTTGCTGCTGCCATGTGAAGAAAGACATCTTTGCTTCCCCTTCTGAGGTGCCTCCAGCCATGTGGAACTGTCAGCCCATTAAACCTCTTTGTTCTTGGCCGGGCGCGGTGGCTCATGCCTGTAATCCCAGCACTTTGGGAGGCCGAGGTGGGCAGATCACGAGGTCAGGAGATCAAGACCATCCTGGCGAACATGGTGAAACCCCGTCTCTACTGAAAATACAAAAAAATTAGCTGGGCATGGTGACGGGCGCCTGTAGTCCCAGCTTTCAGGAAGGCTGAGGCAAGAGAATGGCGTTTACCCAGGAGGCAGCAGAGCTTTCAGTGAGCGGAGATCGCGCGACTGCACTCCAGCCTGGGCGACAGAGCGAGGCTCTATCTCAAAACAAAACAAAACAAAAACAAAACAAACAAACAAAAAATAAACCTCTTTGTTCTTTATAAATTGCTCAGACTCAGGTACTTCTTCATAGCAGTATAAAAATGGACTAATACAGGCACCATCCAATTACTTGAGAGCCCAGATAGAACAAAAAGGAAGAGGAAAGGTGAATTATCTCCTTCTGAAACTGAAACATCCTTCTCTTGCTTTTGACATCAGAACTTCAGGGTCTCAGGCCTTTGGCCTCAGAACGAGTTACACCATTGGCTTAACTGATTCTGTGTCCTTTGGACATGGGCTGAGCAATGCTACCAGCTTTCCTGGTTCCCCAACTTGGAGACAGCCTATCGTGAACTTTCTCAGCCTTCATAATTATGTGAACCTTCCTCATCTGTCTATCTACATATATCCTACGGATTTTGCCTTTCTGGGGAACTCTGAGTAATGTGATTACAGTAATACAAAATTCACTAGTTTATAGAGAAGACTTGGTTTTTGTCTTTACCCCATTTTATGTTTGTATTATAACTGTGTTTCTGGAAAATCGAACAAGTTTTTATCTTCTTCATATGAAGGCTAAAGCTTTTTTCTCACCAATATTTTTGGAGATTTTAAAGATTTTCAAGATTTTCTTTTGACATATAATCTTATGAAGCTGAGAATTAAATTTTGGTTTTTTTTCTATTTTATTTTTCAGCCTCAGGTGTTTGCTTTTGCAGATCCTTGAGCACATTGAGAGCTTCCAAGGCATGGAGTGGGGTGCCTAAAGTTTCAGTGATTATAGGGAGTTGAGAGACTCAATTAGGAAAGGAAAGATCTAAAGGATGCAATTTGGAAGATCAAAATTTTCTCAAAAGAACCATTAAAGTTCTAAATAATTCTTGGTAAAGTCATGCAAACAGGAAAGGAAGTAGACAGAATCAGTTCCATATTGGTGGAACACACAACAGAGTTTTGAGAAGGGAGAATTTAGTCAACTGAGAAGTTCCCATGAAAGGAGCAAGACCAAGATCACAGAGACACCATGAAACAAAAAGCCAGGAATAACTTCCAACCCAAGAGGAGAACAGAGAGGCCTCAAAACGAAAGCTAGGATAAGAAACTTCTAGCCCAAGAGTTACCTTTCAGACAAAGAAGCCTGAGATTCTAACCCACCTTCAGAGAGTACTCACTCAAAATGTTATTCAAACTGTAGGCTTTTTAATGACTTAGCCCTGCATGCAAAAGGCATTCCCTAAGGTGGCACAGAAGATGGAGCCCCCATATCTAAAGATAACCAAGGAGAAAGAAAGACCCCTGTTGCCAGAGTCAGTGGGCAAAGGCAACAGAGAAAGAGACAAGGGTCCTTATGGGATGAGACCCTTGCAGATTTAGACTTATACAAACTCCAGAGAAGTGGCAGGATGACAGCCATAAATGGGGTACCAACATTTCTACTCATTGGATTACAAGTTCTCAGGCATCCAAAATGATTAACAAAATGAAGATTTCTAGGGCTTCTGTGGGAGAGTACGGAAGGTCTTTTTGAACTTTTTAAAGCTGTCAAATGAAGAATGATGAGCTTCATAAATTCGGAAAGGAGAGATTTCATTATGTTTTTTTTTTTTTTTTGAGTCGGAGTTTCACTCTTGTTGCCAAGGCTGGAGTGCAGTGGAGTGATCTTGGCTCACTGCAGGCCTGCACCTCCCAGGTTCAAGTGATTATCCTGCCTCATCCTCCCTAGTAGCTGGGACTACAGGCATGCACCACCATGCCCAACTAATTTTTGTATTTTTAGTAGAGATGGGGTTTCACCATATTGGCCAGGATGGTCTCAATCTCTTGGTCTCAGGTGATCTACCTGCCTCGGCTTCCCAAAGTGCTTTGATTACAGGCATGAGCCACTGCACCCAGCGAGAGATTTATTTCCTATAAAGGGTTGCAGCCTGCAGGATAGTCCTGAGAGGCTAGGAAGTATAACCTCCAGCCAGAAGTCAGAAACAGACACTTCAAGGGAGAGGTAAAGGAAATAGTAATTTATACTGAGTGGCGTGGACAAATACACATACTTAATAAGCTCTAGGAGGAGTCATGCGTATTTCTGAAAGGAGAAATGCATGCATGCACAATTGAGTTTCTTGCTCCTTCATGGGTCCAATGTACAAAAAAATGGCAGTGTTAGCATGATCCCAGGGTGGAGTTTTCAGCCCTCTGACATTAAAAGGTGAAGCAGAGGATATGAAAATTCGCTCTGTGCATCCTGTGTACGCTGTCCAGAACCTCTCCGTCATGGTTGGTCTCTTATCAGGCAAGAGAGGAGAGGCAGCTTCAGGCAGTTGGTTGAAATCATTGGTGGAGTCTTTTGAAAGGCTTGTTTCTGTTAAATCCTTAGGGAAGAAAGCCTCATCATGGTTAGCAAAGGAGGGGGCATAACGAGGTGTATCTGACCCCTGTCATCCCATCCTGCCCAACTTGTAATAGGGGAGGAAAAATAATTTTCTGTCTACCTTTACGGAATTCTAAGATGGGACCCTCTGTAAATCCGAGAACTCAGTTTTGAAAGTCACTCTGGGATCCCCTCAGCCAAGAGTGGGTCTGTTCAGTCATTTGGGAGCTTAGGATTTCATTTTCATTTATCAGTGCTAATGGGAATGAATAGGCTGTCTTCCTGGCAGCTGAATTTGAAACTCCTTGGATGGGATTAATGGCAGCTGTATTTTCTGGGAGCTCTGCTATAATTAGACAAAGTAAGTTCTGGTAAGATTTCTTTCTTTATCTTCAGTATCTCAAATGTTTTCATTTAAATAATCTTTATAACAACTCTTTTTTTTTTTTTTTTTTTTTTTTGACAGAGTCTTGCTCTGTTGCCCAGGCTGGAGTGCAGTGGCACGATCTTGGCTCACTGCAAGCTCCACCTCCCAGGTTTATGCCATTCTCCTGCCTCAGTCTCCCAAGTAGCTGGGACTACAGGTGCTTGCCACCACACCCGGCTAATTTTTTTTTGTATTTTTTTTAGTAGAGATGAGGTTTCACCATGTTAGCCAGTATGGTCTCGATCTCCTGACCTGGTGATCCACCTGCCTCGGCCTCCCAAAGTGCTGGGATTACAGGCATGAGCTACCGTGCCCGGCCCCTATGACAACTCTTGATGTCTGAGTGGGTTCCCACACAGTCATCTGTTGTAAGACTTTCTGATTCCTTTTTTTCTTTGGTCATTATGAATAGCGCTTCTGTACATATTGCATGGTAGCTTTTGTTTGGAAATAATATCAAAGTAGCTGTCAAAATACTTAAGAATGTGATTTTTGGATTGTAAGGTGAGACTTGTTTAGCTTTGGGAAAAACTGCCCAACTAGTAATAGGGGAGGAAAAATAATTTTCTGTCTACCTTTATGGAATTCTTAGATGGGACCCTCTGTAACAAATTACAGATTAAAATGAGAAAAAAGTAGACAAGTTTAAAAACATGTATACCTTATGGATACATGGGAGATACTCAGGGAAAAATGAGTAAATCCCCAACAAGTGGCTTTCAATTCAAGTGTAAATGCTATCTTCAACTTAAAGAAAGAAGATTTGAGGCTCAGTAGTGGGGAGGTAACAAGCAAAAGCACAGTAGACAAGGGTAAGTTTTCTTATACAGAGTTAACTCCATGCGTTCTCTGTTGATAAGACTCTTTGGTGATTTAGTCATCCTTCTCTTCTTGGTTGGTGCCGA